CCATAGTGATTACTTCCACAATAAAATATACTTCTGAAATGGAGATAAACAAGTTTAAATAGCAATTTATGCTTGCACAAAAACAGGTATTCTGGGATCAACTAAAGACAGCCTCTGAAAAATTGGAGGAGGTCTAGAGATATCACATAACTCTTTCAAATCTACTACGAGATTAATCATCTTGGAACTGAATTATCTTACTAGAGAAATTATCTATAAAATAATCGTCAAGGTTGATTGACCTATCAGATAATCAGGAAGCTGTAAAGACATAATTTCCAAAACATCTTGCCTATTCAGACTTAAAAACTTCTTGTGACTAAGGTAAGCAATTGGGAGATAAATGTTCTTAATGTAGCAGGTGTCCCTGGTTAAAAACGTTCTCACTTGTGGCAAAAAATAGGATAATACTATTAGTAATACATTACACTTGTACAGCACTTCACACATTACAGGATTCTTTCACAAATATTAAGTCATCACCAGTGCTACTTTGTGAAACCAAAAACCAAACCCACTGCTGTCGAGTTGGATCTGACTCATAGCAACCCCTCCTAGGGTTTCTGAGGTGGTCTCACTACGGAAGTAGATTGCCCAACCTTCCTTCCAAGGAGTGGCCACTTTGTGAGGAGGTGTAATTATTCTGATTAGAAGACAGGCTAAGTCGATTATCTTGTCCATTAGGTAGAAGTGGAAATATCTGAACTCAAACCTAAGCTTCAGTCATCATGTCTATTTATTTTGTGCAATAATGCAACTGCTTCTCATACATGATATATATATTTTTATGAAATTACAGTCACCTATTTTTGGTATTTTATGTAAATTCTGAAGCTGTGTTAATTTTATGAAAAAGTCCAGACCCAGATCACACACACTGTCCTTTCTACCTGCTCCCAATGGAGGAACAGAAAAGAAAAAAAGAAATGAGAGAGACAGCAAGAAGAAAAGAAAGAAAAAGATGGATAGGAAAGAAATAAGCAAACTCAGTGTGTAAAACCCATTCAAAGGCTAATATTGATTATAACATGTCGTTGTTATTTGCCATTGAGTCGGACCCGACCCATTGCGACCCTTCCTTGGGTTTCCGAGACAGTACCACTACGGAAGTAGATTGCCCAACCTTCTTTCTGAGGAGTGGCTGGTGGGTTTGAATCTTCTGGTTAGCAGTCAAGTGTCTTAAGCACTATGCTACCCATAGTCCATTAAATTGATAATACATTTGAAAGAGTTAAGAAATAACTAAACATCCTTTATATTGTGAATGATATTGTGATATTTAGATACAGCTAGAATTTAGATTTTTTTGATTGTTGTGACAGGAGACTCTTCAAAATTGCTGGCCAATATAGGATATTAGTCTAAATAATATCTTAATCTATTGTCTGAATATATCTACATATGAACTGTAGTATCCAGTACTGTCGATGGATAATTAATTATGCTTACAACTAATTTTAAATTATTTTACTTTGGAGTTAGTTTGCTCTTAATATAAAAGTTGACAATTTATATACTTCTTTCCAAGTCTTCTATTGTACCATGGACTTCCTAATCTTTTGAATCCATATTTATATTGCTGTAAAACTAAATAAATATAGTCAACTTATTTAATGTTTCATTGATTCAGACTACTATTTATATGATTATAAATTAATACCTCAAAGAGCTTAACATCATTATTAGATATTAGAATTCTTTATTTCTCATAAAATTATCCAGTATTACAAAAGCATTATTATAATAAGAAATTTGCATATTTAACTGCATTCACAATAGATAATAAATAAACTGGAGAGAAGGGATTAAAGGAGACAACAGCATTGCATTTTTATTCATATCCTGCATTAACCCTCAGTTTTTGGTTACATAATAGGAAAAGGAAGACAAGTTCATTTTGAGCTACAAAAATAATCCAAGCTGTTTATCAGAATGTATTTTGTCTGCAAGAGTAAGATACCAGTCAGGAAACTGTTAATACTTAGCTCAAGACTTTAAGTAATTTAACAGGAAGTTTTCATGCTTGGCTTTTGTGTTAGGATTAACCTTTGAACTATATAACTGTTGTTCCTTCGGGTTATATGACATCTTTATTTAGGACATGATGATATAAATAGCATAATAGAATGAAATATTTTAAAACGCTAATCCATTATAATGTGATTCTCGACATACTAGTATTGTTTCAGGATTATATTTGGAACTCCAAATTTGAACAATGACCTGAGGTTGATCTGAAGAGAGGCAAAGTTTTATAAGGAACTTTTAGAAAATTAAACTTTCAGAGACTTGACAATTTAAGATCTGTATAAAACTCTAAAAAAAATAGTTTTACTTACTCTTTACTTATGTGCATCTCAAATCCAAAACTGTAAGATTCCTTTTGCTTATCATTTTTAGACAAGATTCTCTATTGTTCACTTGTATGCATTTGTTTTGTGTTTTTAATCTTAAAAAATAAGTGGAGCAATTTTACAATCTCGAAATATTTTTGCTTGGATTTGGTTTCATAGAAAAACTGTCCTCTTGTGCATTCCTAAGCTTCAGAAGTTTATAAAGTTCACTTTCTTCTTAGCATCAGGGAAATATTAGTACTTAGCGTTCGGTTTATTGAATATCCACTTCTTTCTCTCTCTCTCTTTGTTTTTAATTTCGCTTCAGAAAAGCTATATTTCCTTTAACCATCAGTTACTTAACTGAAAAGAGTCTTATTCTATGCAATTTTTAAAGAATTATCACATATAGACAACCTCATTTATTATAATTACTAATGGAATTGAGAGGGGTTTGGGGTTAGTGTAAATTAAAGGAATGAACTATTAATTGTTTTTAAACTACATTTTTTAAGACATAAGAAATTAATTCAATAAAATTACCTGATTTACTAATTTTGGTAGCTCTTAAACTCTTCTAATTAATATTAATCCATTAATAATAGCATTGTCCATCACTGAATGGTATTTAATTTTCATTAGAAGTATACTTTGTACAATTTTACAAATTAAAGTTTTAAGAACACAAAAATATCACAGAACCAATATTTTTTGATACTATTAATTCAACTTGAAATGCACATTTTCATTACATTTTGGCAAAATTTTCATTTCCCTAGCTATGAATACAAAATTTGAATGTAATTAAACCTCTGTGGTGGTTAAGTTTGTCTGTCTACTTGGCTGAGCCTGGTTGAGTGGCTGGGCAGCTGAACGTAGTTATTCCCTATGGTGAGATTGGTGATTAACTCTATGGTGGAATCTATTGGAGCAGCTGAGTAGCTGTTTTGGATATGTGGTCTGCTTCCTGTATATAAGAAGCAGCTTTGGGAATGGTCTCCAGCTTGTGGCATGCTTGAATCCTGCATGTCGCTGTGTCATTGTTCAGCAGCCTGCCATGCTTTGCTGATCTTGGGACTTTTAATGGACTTGAATTAATGGCCTGCCATGTGGTTTGGTAACATCAGGACTGTGCCTTCTTACTTTTCAACCTTGGGCTTGTCCTCATCAGCAGCCAGCAGCTGTCTGAGTGAAAGAAAGCCTCTAGCTTCTGTGGGCCAGGAGCAGGAGGCAGAGCTGAAGCTCAAGGTTGGGAGGCATTCACCCAGCCCCTAGAGCCTCACACTTTGAACTTGGACTTAAAACCTCCAAACTGTAAGAGAATAAACTCCTGTTGGTTCAAGCATCCCATTTGTGGTATATTCTTGTTGGAGCAGTACTAGGTAACCAGAACAACTTCTTAGTCGCAAAAATGAGGTATTTGCTTGAGTACAGCTCAACCAGACAAGCATTTTTATCCAATATATATCATGTACAAGGAGCTCTGGTAGCATAGTGCCTGAGGCACTTGACTGCTAATCAGAAGGCTGGCGGTTCAAACCCACTAGCCACTCCTTGGAAG